GACTTCAGGAGTGTCCATCATCTGGTTTTGGTGGTGAGTCGATTGGTGACTGAAAAGCAGGTGGGGGCTCTGCTCACATCCTCCCCTATAAGGATATTAGGCACTCGCCGTTCCTTGTGCTAACGAAATAGGCTCATTGAAAAAAAGGCTCTCCATCAAGTGAGCTCTTCAAGTATGTAATCATCATGAATGATTCATGTGTTGCTAGCTGTGTTGTGAGCATCCCCTGAGATGCTACTGTGCGCTACTGGCACAGTGCTACACAGAAGCGGCATTTCAGGGGATGCTCACAGTGTGTGGTGACCACACAGTAGTTGGCTATGAATTTCCTTTGGCATTTGACGATCAAATGCCAAAGGAAATTCATATGATCAAATTTTGATCATAGACAATAATTTATAGTCCTGTTCATCACGACAATTATAATCGAACTTTTAATTCTTGACGATGTATACCCGCTTCATCGGATGAAGTCTATAGTACAGAAATTCGGACGGACACTCGATGCAGACTAGCGCACCCTCACCCGAATGCTGTGAATAATGGACAAGAATGAGCTCTGACTGGTATGAGAGCGCTCAGCATGCTTACGCGACCGTTGTGGCTCACGGAAGTCTTCCGTGGGCCACTGTTGGAAGAGGCTACGTCTATGTGACTCCGCAGGGCGTGGGACATAAGAAGATGCTATACCGCATAATAGAAGATGACTGACGAGGCTCATATTGACAACCCAAGAACATCACCAAGATCACCACTGATTTGTTGGTATCATACCAGCCCTGTGATATGACAAACGCAATTCTAGGAAATCGGACATGGAATCCCTGCCTGAGTCTGCCTCCAGTAAACTAGAAAGCCTCCCTCAGCACCCCCGCGGGATGGCTGTAGAACAGCCGCTGTACTTTCACCATCGTCAGCCGCACGTGTCTTACCAAGAATGGTTCTCCGAATGCCTCCCCAATGGGGAATCCCCATCTTTCCCTCTTCTCTCGTCAATCGCTCCCTTCGATGTCCCGATTCAGCTTCAACTCCGGCTCCACTGCTGGTCTCTCCATTGACGCCGCCAGTGCCGACATCGTTCCGCGTAGACTAGCTTGTGCCCTTGCCTGTCGTCCTCACATTATTGATATGGAATTCCGGTCCGGAGTTTCCGGATGCTACCGCCAGAGCTGACGAGAGGAAGCTAGCTGTATCCTCGAGCGCGGCATCATTCAAGGTCAGAAACAACTGTGAAGAGACAAACGTGGGAGTCCCACGGTGGGACCGAAACTCGTGACGAGCTACTCGTTCGCCTGGCTTATCTGGGCGGTCCTCGGTGGCCGCAATCTCGATACGACGATCGAGCATCATGCTCTGAGCATGCCTAGGGTTATTTGTACATACATCCTTTCCCGTGCAAGTTTGACAAATATGCAGCAGCAATATCCAAAATTAACAGAGTGTATTCATGTTTGAGACAAGCAGACAAAATCGAGTGCAGGTCTGGCAATAGAGATCCAATTTCGACACATCCGTGATTCATTGTTGGCGGGATCGACACTATATGATCCAAGAACCACAGTACGCTCCTAACTTTGACAATACGTAAAGTTGTTCGGTGGACTTACGGCTTACGAACGCTGCATGGCCTAGGGCATTTCGCACACGCGGAGCGGAGCGCAAGAACGTGTTAATGGTAGAAGTTAAATGTAGGAGAAAAGCGAGCTCTGACATGACATGAGATAGCTAAGGAATCTCTACTGAGACTATCTTGGCGATAGTCAAGTTTCGTTGCGAGACGCTTTGTAGAAGAATTAAGATGGCGTAAAAGTATACCGACGAACAGACAACCACATGGCGTCGCAAAAACGAAGGTTTCTCCCTAGCTTTCGGTTCTCAAGACCACGTATCGCCGTGAAATCGTGTCAACATGCGAGAAGTGTTACGAAATACATCTTGTCTCCAAGACTTGAAGAAAGTTCTTACATAGGTGATCAGCTTGGGATGGATTATACGGTTTGTTATGCGACTCTCCTCACTGGTAAGAATGCAACAGGACAACGAAGGAGCCAGTAAACTTATAGTCCGAGATTTCCTGAACGACATGTCATGGATCAGCTTCAAGCTAGTCCATCAGCTAGCGCAATAAAAATGAATTCGGAATCGGCTCATCGACAGACTCGACCAATGTGACTCAAATATGTGACATCTCGAGCGTACGTATGCTCGAAAATTCTTTATCAAGATAAAAGACATAACTGAAAAACTATGACATTCTCATATATGAGATAATCATGGAGCTGCAACATAGCACTAAACCTTTGTCCCCGATATACCGTCAACACAGGCTTGCCCACTTATCGCAATTTAACTGGACCAGCTTCCCAAATAGTCCAGCTCCATGGCCAGGTATGGCTATAGACCAGAACATTGACCCATACGTGGAGGTGAAGTGGGATTTGATTCCCAAACATCCGGTTTGTGATCA